ATTCCTTTAGTGAACACTTTATCATTTTTAGTAAATGACACATCTACAGCTAAAGAAATACTTCTGACAGTGAAAATCTCAGTCTTTTTTGCTTGACTACACCAATAGAGTAGGGCTGACCTGTTGACTAATTTTTAACTAACCAATTAATAACTGAAAAGCAACCAGTGCATAATAGGATGTTTTTTTGTTTACAGAATTTGAGCAGTGTCAGACTTCTGCGTAGAACATATTTACAGAAAAAAAAAGTGTTTTTTTAACTTAAATCCAAAATATATAGACTTCTTGTGCTGTTTTGGGCTAATTACTGCTCTTAGTACGTTGTTCCTTCAACAAATTGACTTTTTTTTAGTCTGTGTAGTCTAGTTAACAATTTCTCATTTACTAAATTAGTCTATGATTATTTCAACAATCGATTCATCATGATTAGTCAAATGAATCTTTTCAGCCGTAGCTGTGAGCCTGTTTCCCTTGTAGATGCCTTTTGTACCGGGACATTTTACATTAAAACTGGGTGAACGTATGTCTTTTACTTGGGAAATGATTCACTAAAGAGAAGACTAGACACCGGAGAAAGAGGAATGGGCAAAGATTCTTCAATTACGATGCTGAAATATCATGAAATATTATAGAAAATAAACCAAGCTCTGCCCTGTTGACATAATGTGGGTTTGTACTGGTATTCACAGCAACTGTAACATTCACAGCAATATTAACTATGGTAAACACGATTTATTTTAAATATTGTTTTTTTTTTTGTTTGTTTGTTTTTGTTTTTTTTCAAATTTATAAAAATTCAGATTCTAAATCCTTTATTATTATATTATGATGCATTGCTAAAAGGTTATTTCAAAGATTTTACAGAGGGGTGCATAGAAAATGTAGAGCATGCTGTATATTGAAATACTTCGGCATTTTAAATGAAAGCTTGCTAAAGGGATTCTTGACATATTATTATATTGCTAAAATAAAGTGCTGCACACATCCAGAGTTGGTTTGAGTTATCCAGGACCTCATTAATACTTCCTATTGGAGCTACATTCTCGAAAAGGCCCCAGATACTCATCATGTGAAACTGTCTCAGCAGGAATGGAGTCTGGAAAAATGTCCTAATATATAAATTCACAATGCCCTAAAAACCTTTGAGATGTTGTTAAATATTTCCCTGTTGTATAACATGACAGTAAACACTTTAAGAATCATATTCAGGTTAAATCTTCCACTGGAGTACAGTAAAAACTTCATTGAATATATTGGTAGTTTGAGCTGGTTGGCAGCTAGCAAATATGAAGATGCCAAAATCTGCAAGTATTTCTGAGATATGCAGACCAAAAAATATGTTCCACAACGTCAAAACAAGCATGACGTGGGAGACAGGCTGCTGCAGTCGTTCCAGATTGGCTTATTAAACCTGCCTGGCTGTAAAAGAAGAAGTTTGTATCTATAAATTACTGATAGTCTAACCCTGAAGCCTGGACACTGGAGCTGTTGCATGTAGTGCTGAACCCTTTGGGAAGACTCCCTGCTATAAATAAAAGACTCTAAACGGTAGTTCCCGTTTAAAGCAGCCGGCCTGTTGGCAGCTTTCCGTCTTCATTAAAAGCTTCATGCTTACTGTTTGCTCTGGTGGCTCTGACCTTTTCAGCTTGTTGTTATGTCACAGATATTAGCTGAAGCTGCTTTATATCCACAATATTTCATCTATGGAAATCTTTTTCTTTTTTTTTTTTTTTTTTTGTTAATTTGTGCGCAGATTGACAATAATGTAAATAGAAATGATTGTATCGTTGTTTTGTTTAAGTTAATTGTGATTGTCTATTAGGATTTTCTAAAGCATATGTTGATACTGTACTATAGGTGAATACTGAATTTCCATGAGGTGATTAGTAGTATTTTTTTCACTTTACTAAATTCATTGTCCAGACAAATATTTTTCACCAATGCTCTCCTGGTGTCTTCTATATAGTTTTAAAGCTTTTATTGTGAAATTTTGACAGTTTGAATACCATACTTTGTGTTAAGAAATGTGCAGTGGTGGTTAGTGTTGTTTTTTGATTATTACTTATTCCACTTAGTAAGAAAAAAAAAACATTTTTCTGCAAATTAGAAAAAGAAAAATTCAGTCAGAGAAGCGCTACTTTAACATATTTTTGCTGAGGTAAAAGTATTTCATAAAAAAGCTAGTCTGAATAACTGATCATAACGTCTCATTAAATATTTAAAAATGAAATCAGACAGGCACAAGTTTTGTGTACCAAATGCTGGTATCTTAAAATGAAAAAAAATAATTCCAAATCAGGTTCAGCAGATAAAACATAATGTGAGAACAACAAAGTTTGTATAGAAACAAAGTCTGTCGTGTGTCTGGTTCATTTTTGAATTAAACAAACTTGTTCTTCATTTAGTTACTCAGTGGATAGAGTATCCAGCGATTTTAAAGTAAAGTAGCCATATTTCATAACAATATTAGGAAAAAGTGAAAGGTGCAGTGTAGTAAAACTAGTGCAGAACATTTTTTTATCCCAAAATGTTACTCACTCCCAAAAGTGTTCATATATTATGAACACTTATTTGGTGAAATAAGTGTTCACAAGATATGAACACATTTTTATTTCTGTGCTGTTTTGATGGTTTTAGCAGGATACAAAATAAAGTTAGAATGCTTAAAAAAATTATTATGATATTGTTAATATTTTAGCTGGGTAATCCTACAAATCTTATCAGCTGGTTACATGTTAAATGGTAACCAGGGTCTGATTTTGTAAAACTGTTTCCTGCTGTTTGCTGACCTTCTTAGCATTAGTTCCAGGTCAGCTAAGTGGAGGTGACTGCTAGCTGAAAAAAATGTGAAAATTTAGATGCACCATTTTGAGCAGGATAAAACCTGGTGTCATGTGAATTCTATCATTGTGCTTTAAAAGTTACAAATCTGATGTTCCTTCATTTGTCATTTACTCAGCCTATAAGTTAGCTAATTTAATTGAGTTTTTTTTGCCTAAACACTGAAACTATTTCCTTTATAGACAATTTCCTTACATCTGAAGGAAGAATTCATGTAATTTATCTGACATAATAATAGTTACCAAAATACAAATCAATACAAGGTCGAGCCAGTTGGATTTTTCTTTTCAGTTTTTGTCTGTTAAATGACGCAGACTAAAATATGTCACCTCTGGTTTCTGTGCAGGTTGGATGGAGCCATGCCAGAGGGTGTTAAGATTTCAAACAACAGCCTTTCTTTCACACGCCCGCTAGAGCGCAATGATTCTGCAATCTATTGCTGCGAGGTGACTAATGACATTGATCGCAGCACTCACAATGTCAACTTCTGGGTTCAAGGTACTTTTAACTTTTTTCTCACAGTTTGGTTACGTATTACCAGATCTTCTCAACTGTGTTTTTTTTTGTTGTTGTTGTTTTTTTTTGTTTTGCTTCAAGTTTTTCTCATGTAGGATAAAATTCAGTAATTAATGTCCCTAGAACAACTAAGCTTTAGTGTAAATGTCCCTGTCAGTATTCACTTTCACACATCCCCGGCAACAGAGGAGGACCACGGGCCCCAGATAAAGAGTATCAGGACTGAAAGTTTCCAGTGTTGTGGTTTTGGCAACATTAGATGACTCAGATAAGAAAGAAGCTGTTTATCCCTGCTGGTTCAGCAAAGTATTCACCCATGTAGCCTTTTTACTATGCTTTGTTAAGGTCAGGTTACACAGCAGGACATAATGAATTGGGTTGAGAGATTTGCAGCACACAGAAGTCTGTGTTTATACTCCATAAAACATCTTTGTTCAGCAGTAGATTGTGCCCCTACAGCACTGGAGCACCAGCAGCTCCGATTATTTAGCTCAGCTCAACACCTATAGATTAAACTGTGAAGTAATGGGAGAGTGGAGTTCACTGACTCTCCAAACAGGATTTACTTTCATTTGAATTTGATCCTGTTGATGCAATTAGAAGGCTTTGTTCACACTTAATTTTTTTATATGTTTGGCCATTTTGCAACCACAAACCTCTCTTAAATTTGTAAGGGTTTTTTGTTTATAATTTCTGTTCCTTAGTTTCTATTCATTGATTAGATCAGCTCTGTTTTACCTTAATTCAGTCCTGTAGTTGCTTTAGTTGTATTATCTTCCTAATGTCTAGTTATTGGTTAATGTTAGATTTGTTTTCCTAGTTACTCAGTTTATGTGCTCTCCTTTGCCCCTGGGCCATTTCCCCACTCTCTCCTCGGTCTGCCTTCCGCTCTCTTCCCTCACACTGCCACCCGTTTTTAATCATCAACCTGTTCCTTGTTCAAGTAATCAACCTCACCAGTATATATATATAACTCATCCTCAGTCACTCCTTGCTGGTTCCTCTCATTAAATCCCATCACTTCCCCTTTGACTCCAGACTGTCATTTTTCCCTGGATTCCTGTTTTTGTTTTTCTCTGGCTCCATGTTATTTTTGTAAGTTTTATTCTTCATTTTTTATTAAACATTTTTCATCTACTTGCTGTCTCTGTCTTTCTATGTTTGAGTCCAACGCTCCTGCAGCGCCACTCCTCCCACACGACTCCCCCACTCAGCTCCTTTAGACTAGCCAGCAGCAATTAGCAGCTGGTGGAACTTAGCATCTGCTGAGCTCATTATAGGAGCTACTTCTCAGTGAAAAGCTGGTCAAAACGTTGTTAATAGAGTAGAGTTAATGAAGGAGCCATGTTGTTATGACTTCCTGAAAACAGAGTTTCAGAAAAAGCAAGAGTTTTTGAAGAGACAGAAGCCCAAATTGAAGGTGTTAATTTGCAAAGATAAATTTCTTCATAAGTCATGTTATAAAAATGTCATATTTGACATAGTATCTAACAAATGAAGGCAACATAGTAACTCAATAGGGTTATATACTGTGTCTGGAAAATACATAATCTTTAAATAAAGTTCATATGTGGAAATTGTACATCTTTTGACTGCATTACCTGAATCCAAAAGGCTGCACATATTTAAAATTATTTCTATAAAGTGCCACAACATAGATGTATGTGTCTGTATTTGTCCATATAACTAAAAGTCTGGTCTGAATTATGTTTGGGCCAGCAATGAATTTCAATTAGACCAAATGAAATATCTTGGTTTATTTGAGTCTTTAAAAACCACAACCTCCATGTTCTCCATTGCTCAGTGTCGCTGCTAACGACATCAGAGCATCGACCACAGCTTCTGCACTCTCAAGCCCCACCCATGTTTCCACTTTCCTGCCCGTATTCACACCCACTGTAGCGAAGAACATACTCTAATGGAGACACTCCCAACTTGACCAGAACTAAACCAGACTTTAACCGGTCAGAGTGAAATTCGACAACGGAGAAGCAGCAAAACGGTTTGTGAAGTGGAACGTAAAAGATACATCAGCCAACATGTGGCAAAATGTTCAGGAGGGCACGAATACTTTTTGTGATTTACGTCATGATGAAACAAAACCTCTAGAAAACTGAGCTGCTCCCATCTGCTTCCTGTGTTTTTATTAGATTGGGTTCATCATTATAAAGTTAGGGCGTGGATCCTGAGAACTCTCCATTGCTTGTGTTGCTTTATTTTGACTTTTCCTCACTCCTTTATATTCTGCTTCTCTTCAACCCAGTTTTGGACTTTGCTTTCCTCTAACGATCACAGTCCTTCTGGCTTCTCCGCCGTTGAGAGACCTTGAGGAGTCCTGAAAGGCGCCGCCAGGCTCCCGTCTGCAAACGGCCTGCTTTGGGAAGGTCCTGCTCCAAATGAAAGCACAGCTGACATCCTGTCCAGAACGGACTTGCACAGAGCAATTATCTTGTTTTTCTTGTCAAATCTGGAGTGTTGGGCATGCATTCTCTTGCCTCCATCCCCTGTGGAGATGACCCGTTTGAGCTCAATAATACTCCCTGCCCCCTTCAAGCATTTCACATTCCCATTTCATCTCTGCAGCTTTGTGGTTTCTAGCCACGTCGCTTACGGTCAACTACATGAATTCTAGTCCCTACATGAAATTATGCTAATTGAAAAAGCAAAGTGAACTGATAACGATTCAGTTCACCAACCTTATTCTGGGTCTACCTTTGCTTTCCCTCTGATCCCCGCGTGCAATTTCAGGTAATTAGATTCTTACTCAACCAATTGTGGCAATAATTGTGGCTCTACAAAGGCCCAGACTGTGTCTTAAATGCACTCAGGCTTATGATCTGCCTGTCAACCCATCAAGTAGTGTTAGACCTGCAGGCTCCAGGTCAGTATAGAGGCACTTAACGTGACCTTGATCTCCAGGCAGCACTGATTGTGTTCAGAAGAGCTGAAGGACAAAATCAGATTCAGGAACCTTGCATCGATCTCTCCAGGTTTTGTCTTCTCACATATCTTTCCTACGGCTGGTTTTAGAAAAGGAAGCAGGTAGACCATCTCTGTCTGTCTCTCATCCTGACACAGCCTGACATTGAATACTTATGGCATCTCCCAAATCTATTCATTCTGCTCCTTCACATTTTTATTGCATTATTATGACAACATTCAGTGTGTTGTGTTGATACTATATTTGTAAGGAACATAATACATGGTTTCAGATTTTTTTTTTAAAGAAACAAATGATATCTTGATGGTATACGTTTGTTTTCAGGACCTCATTGAATTCTTAGAACTACCTTATGTTACAGTTGGAAGTGTTTTAGTGGAAAGTTTATACTAGGTTAACTCTGCTGGAGATTTTAGGATGTTACCTGTTCTTTGCAATTAGCCTAAAATCAGTGGGATTGGATGAACATTGATTTATCACAGATTATCATTTGCCTTTAGCTCTGTACTTTGACTGGGCCCTTGGAACATGAACATGCTTTGATCTAAAGAACTTCCTTGTCTTTTTGTCTTTCTGGAAGCTGAACCAGTCTGAACCAACCAACCTTAAATCTGTATATTCAGGCAAGGGCTGGGCAATAAAACAATATCAACATCTATCGTGATAGGCACATGATCAGTATCAATGGAAAATGGGTCAAAAGAATGTTAATAATTTCACTGAACTCTGGCATTCTGGGGGATGTAAGCAGAGGACAGTTTTTAACCGCTCAACCTCTCATGGCCAGCGAAGCTAGCTACTTGGTTGCATCAACTCACTCACTCACTCTTTGGTTACCTAGCAACAACCTGCTGAATAACATGAGCAGTGGCATTTTCATGTTGCCCCACAAACTACCCTGGTATACTTCACTCCTCTGAGGTCCGTACTTACTCACTGCGGACGTCTACCCGACACATCCACACAAAGTAAATGTTTACACTCACATACTCGGTGATGCACTGATTCACACAGGAAGCCGCTCTGCAGCAAACAGCACTCACATTGAGCTATTTCGTAGGCAACACCAAGTTAATCCTCTAGTCAGCACAACCAGTCGCAAAGACATGTACGATGACTGCCACGCTCTGCTGCCCTGCTGGAGAAAAAACGGGGATAGGCGCCCGACAAGCTCATCAAACTTGCTAATGTCCATTTGGATTGTGGGAAATGAAGGAATTTGTCACAAGAAATGTATGCAGTGGGTACACTCGACTATGAAACCTCAACCGTCTGTGATTCACAGAATACACACAGTGTGCCTGAGTATGTTGGAGCAGTTTTAGGTTTTGCCACCGTGCCTCATAGCTGCTTAAAAATAAAAAAAGATTGGACTGGAGCGAAAGAAGAAAATGAGTACAACCGTTTAAGAGGAAATTGTGAATAAAAGAGGAAAGGTCACATCACCAGTTTGACAGTATTTTGGATATTTAGAAGAAAAACCAAAGCAGTAATTATTGATATTGAGAATGCTTACATTGACACATTTCTCAGCCAAATTGCCCTGCTCTAATTCAGGCTGAGGTTCAGCGTTAGTTTTCCTCCACAAATAACATTTTTCAAGTGGGTCAAAATGTTTGCTCAAGTCTGACCAGAATATCTTCTTTCACATTGACTGTGTCCCCTCCATGGCTTCTAAAAAACTATAAACAGGACTTCTAATGGCTTTCATTTCACTTTTCTGTCATAGCCAGATTTATAGGGTGAGTTGAGTATCAGTTGTCCAGTCGTCAATGTCCCACATGAGCTGTAGATCTTTACACCCTGTCAGTCTGTCAGTGTGGATGGACATAATACTGTTCAGTTGATCATTTTTATGCCACTTCACAACTTCACATTTCCATGAGTTGACACACTACATCCATGTAGCGTGTCAATGTAATGTGACAAAATCTGATAAACATAAAAGTTGAGTGTGTGTACATCTGCTGTGGAGCTCTGCCTTAAGTTTCAGATCTTCAGCGGAAGCTCCAACTCTCCACAGGGTTATAAATTCATATAACAGCCACATTTGCTTTGTCAGTTGCTACAGGAGACAAAGTGCAGCCTTCCTCTGCTCCAGGTTTTATGACTCTCCTCTCACTCTCTTCGCTGTCTTTTCTCTCTGTTTCACCTGCAGATCCCCCCCCCACCACCGCGGCCCCCAGCACCACCGCCTCCCCCATCCGCTACGCGTCCGGAACCGGAACAGACGTGGACCGTCGCCGAGCCCTGTTCACCTCCCCCACCCTGGCCTCGGTCCATGACAGCAGCCTGGGCACCATAATCGGCGGGGCAGTGGGCGGCATTCTCTTCCTGGTCCTCCTGCTGATCCTCGGGGGCGCTTGTTTTATGCGCCAGCGCAGGACCTTCAGAGGGGACTACTACACCAAGCAGTACCTGGGACCCTCCGACATGCAGAAGGAGTCTCAGCTAGACGTCCTACAGCCGCACGAGCTGCAGGAGGTTTACGGGGACAAGACGAGCAAGGGCAGCCAGGAGCTGAAGCCCAAACTGGGCGGGGACATCATTTACCCCGACTACACTCCGGAGCGCAAGGACAGGGATGACTGGAACGACAGGGGGGACTGCCCCAGGGTCACCAAGGAGGGGAACTATTACCCAGACCACTACAACAACCAAAACATGCACCCCTGCGGGCCTCCCGTGCACAGCCCCATTGTTAACAACGGCTCCCCCTACCTTCCGGAGGATTGCTACGAAAACGGTACAGACAGCGACTACGTGTCGCACATGGACGGATCTGTGATTTCACGCAGGGAGTGGTATGTTTGAGGACAACTAGGGACAAAATGGCAAACATCCAAATGAGATTAAGTGAACAAGTGACAGACTTCAAAGGATGCATCGTTTTATTTTAGAAGCAGAAATGAAACTTCTAAGCTTTCACCTTGAGCTTCTTGAATGGTTTTGCTCTGCCTTGATTGTAACCACTTAACCTTAAGGATGTTTTCTGGGGATTGTACTTCCAAGTTTGTAGCGATGAGCTGCAACGAAGCTGGAACGCCTCAAAAGATATGACCTGTTTTTGCTTTGGCCTACGGTGACGTGTCGAACCAATGTGAACGAGGTTTTGTTGCCCTCTGGTTTGTGTTTGCACCTGTTTCGTACACGGTCGGCTGTTCCGCGCCCTCTTTGTCCAAGTATTTATTCCGCAGACCGAACGGGCTTTTCTCTCCTGAAGCCTCACAACTTCTGCCGCATTTAGAAAAACTATCTCATGAGAGATCGTTGTGCATTTTCACACACAAGTGAAGAGTTTATTATGGCTGAAACCAGTATTTAAAGCAAATTATATTGCATGCTTTCTAAAAAACAAAGGTATCATTAAGTGAAAGGGAAGTTTACGAGATGAAAAGGGAGACTTGCTGGGGCGTCGTACAAAGGGTGAAGCAAAGCAATGGATCTCAGTATGTAGCAGTGTAGGCATGGGCCGGTATGAGAATCTCAGGGTTTCCTAACTGGAGGGGGAAAAAATGGCACAACATCATGTTATTTATTCAGAAAAGTAAATTATATGATTGCTTTCATTTAAAAACAAAAAGCAACAATTTTTGTCATTTTGTGGTGAAAAGATATCGTAAAGCTGCTCTATGTATCTTTTCTATAAAAATTTATTTAATTTTTTTTTTTACATATTTATTCAAACTGTTACTTTTCGTGACAGTATAACATGAGACAGATAATCTTTGAAAAATTCAGGCTCCTCCCAGTCGTCCTACTGCCCAAGCAAAGCAGCATTTACACAAGGATGATTCACTGCGCCAAGACCCTCCTCCTGGCTCCGATTGGCTGAGTGGGAGTGGTGTGTTTCTGCAGATGGCTGTAAGACCACAAGGAGGATGTGGAGGAGCTTGATTTTTTCATAGACTATCTGTCTCATATTATACTGTTAGAACACAGTAGCAGTTTTGACAAATGTAAAAAAAAAACATATTTTTTATGACAGTGACATACTGCAGTTTTAATACAAGAAGTGGGGCACTCAGTTTTTTTTAAGTGAGAGAAAAGCATTAGAAAGTTTTTTAATTGTTTTTCAGCTAGCTGACTGGTGGAACTTAGCAACAAGTGCAGGAGGGGCAACGCTATGCTCTCTTTCTTTCTCGAGCATCGTTTTGAAAAGGCTTTAAACAATAGATTTTTTGTGTCATTTTAAAGTGGTTTTAGAACCCTGTTCCGCCCTGATCGTGGTACCAGCCCATGCCTAACACACACCCTGACTGAACAATGTTTGGGATCATAACTCAGTCATCAGCCGTTCACCATGTCACCTACACACCTCAAGATCAAGACACTGTGGAAAACACCTTTATTCTGTCAGCTGCTCCCAAAACTTTAACACCCACAGTTGTCATAACAGCATTTTTTTTTTTTTTTGGTAGTGCTTTTGTTTTTTCTAGTTCAAAAGAAGTGTGCAAAGGACATAGACTCAGGTTGCTCTTTGAAGCAGTTTATTAAAAATAAGTTCTGACACCAGAATCTGACTTTAAGTCTGAGTCAGACGGCTGCAGGACTCAGTCAAAGCATCTCAGCCTGTGGAGACGTGCAGCACGTCACTGGCAGCTCCTCCTCTTCCTCCAGCTGTTTCCTATCGTTGTCGCTTCATCGAAAAACTCAAACGGATAAGCTGATGAAAAAGCAATGATTGCAAGAGTCGACTGTGCCTGACTACAGAGAATAATCAATTTTGTTTCAACCTTAACTCCGCCTGAACACTTATCAGCTTGGGCTTTTTTTGTTGTTGTTGTTGTTGTTGGGAGTTTTTTCTACCTTGGAAATCACAAGCACATATCTGCCAGAAGTTCTTGTTATTTTGACTAAGTACAGATGTGTAGCCATGTCAAGGAGACAAAACAGTTTTGATCTGGTTCTAAGAGTGGAGCAGGGGAAGACAAATCTGTTAGTTATTGTCTATTTTTTCTTCAGTATCCATACTTTAGAAGTGCTTTATTTGCTGAAAGTGTCAGTGAACTCATTCAGACTATTGTCTGGTTTTGATCATTTGCTCTCAGTATTTTCAGCTGCCCCAATATTTTCAACGGACTCTCCTGTCAGGTGAACACTGACATGGTTTAAAGTCTAGTGTAATCTACAGATTGTGTTTTTAAAACTTCCACATGCCAAGAAGATTTAGTTCACATAATAGTTTTCAAAATACTTCCTTGTTCCTCAATCATTAGTTATCTATGTTTGGGATCAGTAGGGGTGTAACATGTGAGAGAGCTACAATAATATTATACTAAGGATGCACCATAAATCGGAACTAACAACGGTAATCAGCCATAACAATGTTATAAATACTGGATGTCGATATGGGCCCAAATTGTTATTTATACTTGTGCATCCCTTTAAAGACAGTTTACTAAAGAATTTGAAAATAAAAATAAAATAGTCATAGACTTTTCTTTGGCATCTTGAATTAGTGCCTTTAACGGCAGTCTGTGATCCTATTCAAAAGAATGTAAATCCTTACATTTAGGCTGAGACTTCCAGAAAACATTTCCAAATTCAACATTTTCTATAACAGAGGTTAAAAACTCCAAAGAACCAATCAGAGCACCTGTTGTGTTTTCTCTTTAGCCGTCCTCCTATCACTTTAAAATGATTTCCTGGTTCTTATAACTCTGTTCTGCCGCTGTCTTCACTTTTAAACACCTCGCTGATGCTGAAAATAGCTTCCTAGCTCTTCCTCACCCACTAACAACTTCCACACTAAAGAGTGTTGTCAACACAAAATGATAGCATCTAAGCTCACCCATCGAAAAACACTGTTTTTCTTTTGAAAGTCGGCTGATCACATTCAAGGAGAAAACTATGTCATTCTGGGAACCAGCAAATCTTTCTTTGCAAACTGATGAAATGAGGCTTGATTATATGTAAGGATCTGGTAATAAGACTTCAGATCTGAATCCAAATCACTAAAGCCAAATCCAAACTATTACACAGCGGTGGCTGTTATAGAAACACCATCAATCTCAAGTTGTGTAAAACTGAGGTTTGATAGTAACTGAAACCAAATTGACTGATATGGCTATTGACATAAGATCATGCAGTCATAAAAAAGTGCAGCTCTGTTATTAAACTTCTCAGTAAGTTTCAGAACCGCCCCTGTTTCCCTGCTGAGGCCTGATACCAGGCTACGCTGCTGTCTTTTACGTTTTCCCTCCTAAATATTTTCTGATTTCTGTCTCTAAGACCAATTGGACATTAAAGTTTTTTTTTTCTTTCTTTTTTTTTTTTTTTTACAACTGCAGATCAAAGGAATCTGTTATAAATACCAGATGCGAGCGGTACGGCTGTCATCATCTGACATTATGTGGGCTGCGTAAACCACCAGCAGTTTGACTGCTGCTGCTCCTCATTCTGCCGTCGAGGTTCAGGATCTCCAACTTGCAACAAAAAGAGAGGCAGAAGTGCCAAACGGATCCCTGTGTTTTTAGCTTTTTTTGAAAATAGGATTATTGAGATGTGAGAAGCTGACATCACTGCAGAGCATACTTTAATGTTGGGGTTTGGCTCCTCTTGAGGATGTGGAGCGGCCATGGAAACAAGAAACTTAATCTGTGAGTAAAAAAAAGAGAAATATGAACCGTGGAGGTCAGGGATGGATGTGTAACGGCTCCCTGTGGAAGAGATACATGTTTCTTTCTTTCCCCACAAGCAGCATTGCTTGTGAAACTAAGTTGAAACAAGAGCTGACATCATCAGCGATCTCATCTTTTCCTGCTTGGTTTGTCCCAACACTTTTCCACTCAAAGCTTTAGCTCTGTTTCCTCAGGATTGATACAGAGATCAGAGTGGCCTTTGCTAAGTTTCACCGCAACCAAAAAGAAAGGAAAGTCTTTCTTTTGCCAAACAAGTGTTTCTCAAGTGTTGGTATCAGACAAACATGGCAAGATCAAAACACAGCTATCCAAAACAATCTGGTTCTTTCTGTCAATGACATTTCATCCTTTGTTAAGTCACAAATTGCCTGCCAGAGCTGCAGAATCGTGAAATCACTTTAATAGAACTTGTTTGACAACATGAACTAGTCTAAAATTGAATGAACATCTACTAGTTAGAAACAATTTCACTGAGATCTATCAGCCCTGAAAAACTTCCAGTCATGTCTGAGGCTTTGGGACTCCAGCTAACTGTGCTATCATATATGGAGGTGACATGGAACAGTGGTGACCCTTCTAGAATAACTTTAAAGCTATCCAGGCCTCAGCTAACTCACTCAATGTAAGAGTTCATGATTTCATCATAACAATCAAACTGAGTAAAAATGGCTTTCACAAGAGAGCTGAAAAGAACACTAAACCCTCTCACTTTAGAAGAATATTGTCACCTTCCTAAATAAAGGTCTGTCATTTTTTGACAAAAGTATTTTTTTTTTTTGCCTAAATTATTTTTTGACAAAATGAGGCAGTGATTTGACTTAGGCCATTATTTTAGGAAGGTGACAAAATGATAAAACCAAAGAAAGACTTTTAGAAGGATATTCTGTGAACTGGCTAAATAAAAGTGGAGCTTCGTGGAGGATGTGTATCCTGTTACTTCTGTTGTTAAACTAATAAAATACTTCATAAAAACAACAAGCAGCCCTCAGATGTTTGTAGTGTGACGTTCGGGTCCTGCCCTTGCTTCTTCAGGACCTGAATGATTTGCTGAGTTTGGTTGAACCATGAACTTAGCACAACAGCTGAAGGAAAATGTTCAGCTGACAGTTAGCGACCCTAATAATTAATTGAGCCTTATTCAGGTGAAAAATAAATTGGAAACTGAATACAAAAACCACAAAAGCAAGTTCACCTCTAAATGGCACAACTAAAAAAAGCAACAAATCAAGTGAAGTCTTTGGAATGCCCTGATCAAATTCTAGTCTTTAATTCAATTGAGATGTTGTGATATTAACTTAATTCTCCCGCAGTCTTATGAGACAAGATCCATCAAACCCTGCAAGTTATTTTTACCCTGTGCGCGGTTTGGCGGGGAAGCACTGATCCTGGATGCGCTTTTACAGGATTTTACTCGTGTGGTTTCAGGAACTGACGATCTGACCGGACAACCCTCCCCAACTCCTCACTGTCCGATCGTGGCACACTCCTCCTGAGCATGGCGCTAAGACTGCAGGAGGGACGATTAAGTTGCCCATTTGTGCTCTAACACCATATGAGGTGGCCAAGTTAAAAACAAATCTGCAAAGAAGAGCGGACCAAAATTACTCTAGAGGCGACGTGAAAGACTTACTGCTGGTTCCTGCCAACAGTTGTTGAAGCCAAAAGCAGCAAACCAGCTCTTAAGTTTAATGGGCAATTCCAATTTCTGGTTTAATAAATAAAATTCTTTGAAATTAACATTTTTTATTATTATTATTATTGAGCTTATCTTAGTCAGATATAAAAATGTTTGATTAAGACTTTTAATTTGACCAAACAAAGCTAAAACCAGAAGGCATACATCATAATGGATTCAGGTCGAGGCCTCTGTTTTTGTCAGGGGGGGGTTTGAAAGATTTCCGGCGCACGTCTCCACCCCTGGTTTTCTCATGGCACGGCTCCGGGTCGAAGGGTTTAGATGTCTCAGAATAAACTGCTTTAATCTCGGCTCTCACTTGCGCCGTCGCCACACATCTGCCACTGCGGCCCCACATGGAAGGAGCTGTCCTCACCTCAAAACCTTCAGCTTTTTAATCAGCTTTTATACCCTCCAGCCTTGGTTTGGGTTTTAAAGCAACACTGATTTAATGGATGATTTTTATTTTAAATTATGTTCTTGCTTTACCTTTTTTGTGTTTTTGGGTTTCTTGCTCACCAGCTGGTTGCGTGTGCAGCTATTTGCTGCCAGTTCCATCACTAATGTTTATATTACATGTACATATTATGTCTAGTATTAGCGTGGGATTAGTTGTTCTCTGTCGTTCTGGGTTTGTTCTGGACTCCCCTACTGAATAGCTGGTGCCTTAAATGGGCTGAGCAATGCACAGAAACTTTAAAAGCTGACAGATACTGAAAGCATTAATGTAAAGATTATTATTATTATTCAAAAAAGGGCAGATGTGCCTTTTTTAATACGTATACCAACTTTCATATTTAAGATTTGCTGTTGCCAAGGCAGCAGAGTTGACAAAAGGTTTATTATCATGCCTTACAGAGTTTAAAAAGGACACATGTAACAAGTTGGTTACTGGGAAAATTGTAATAAAGCAATGTTTCACTGGGAATTTTGGTGAGCCAGGTTCATAGAAAATATTATTTTCCTGTAAATATGCTGGCTTTTTTATTATTATTATTATTATTGAAGAAAAATCTTATTTTTTGTATGAGGTCGGTAATTTTCACGGACTATTAGTTATCTTACAAGCTTTCAGCGGGCTCCTGTCTCACAATAAGGCAGAGACCCGGTTTTCACTGCATTTTGTATCGGTTTGCAAGAGTTGGTGACCAATTATTTTGTATGGTGTTCTTTGAATGATTGAGGTCTCACAGGAATCAGAGATGAGCGGGTGGTAGATTTTGTCTTCTGTTCTTTCGTTTGCAATAAAAATGTCATCGTTTCACTTTGTGTCCTGGAGTCCTGCTTTCAGAGAACATGTTTTGAATCTCTTTTTTAATTTGCTGTTATCAGTGTCTAAGGAGTGGCTCAGAGCTTAATAGTGTAGAGTTTAGATTTAGATGCAATAACCCTTCAGGTAAGTGTTTGACTTTGAGGTTTATGAGGTGAATCTTTTTCCTTTGTTATGCAGTCAATCAAAAAAAAACAATAACTTTTAATTGCTCGTTTGTAGACATCTTTCCAGTACCTTTTTTAAAACACTCATTCACCAATTACCCTACTCATGTTAATTGCTTTTCTTAATGTGCTTCAGTAATGAGTATTTACATATTACAAACTATTTGAGGCCTGAGTCATCTGAGATGGAGTGTTTGTGTTCTCCAGTTTTTCTCATCTTTGCAGTTTGACCTTGGAGTGTGTTTGCTGGGATGTCGACTCCTGGGAAGATTGGCAGCTGTCCTACGTTTTTTCCCCCCCCCGGCATAATTCTCTCTCCTTCACTGTAAAACGGTGACCTTCAGTCATCATGGGTTTGAAGATGGCCTTGTAACCCATCCGAGGTTGATGGGCTGCATCACTGAACTCCTTGGCATCTTTTCTACTTCACATCCTGACAACACACCTGTGTGTTCCAGGTCAAAACCCCTGCTTTCATAGAAATGGCAGTTAACACAGCGTCAAGTCAAGTTTATTAGTGCAGCACATTTCATCAAAAAAGGCCTTTCAAAGTGCGTTGTAACCAATTCTGAAACAGGTGATAAACATATTCTGTCAAATTCCATCATTAAGATTAATCATCATCAAACACATTGATCAACGTTCCAGTTATTAATCAAAGGCAACTCTAAGCAGGTGGGTTTCCAGCCTTGACTGTAAGGCTTTATATCTGGTTCTGACTCTGGGAATTCAGAACAGAACCAGAACCAGAAGACCTGAGAGGTCTGGACAGCAACAGCAGATCTTAAATTTTGTGCTAAACTGTTCAGTGATTTTAAAGTCTGTTCTCTGAGCTACAGGAAGGACTTTAAAACTGGGGAGATGTGCTCTTTCTTCTTATCAATTCTTAACATCGGGTCAGTTTTACTTGCCGGACCGAAGCCAACATGATAAAAAATGACTAATGCCTCTGTGAATGCTGACATATCGCTAAACAGACAGTTTTTTAGATAAAGATTAATTTTAGTCATTTTAGGAAGCCGGTACTCGCTGCATCATTTTTAGGTCGTCTCTGATGGGTGAGATGCTGGAATCAAACAAAGGAGGCAATTTATATTGCTGTGGATGTCAGCATCCCAACAGCATCCCAACAAACTGTCACGATTCGTAATTTTGCTTTTTTTAATGCTCCTCCTTCATGTGGGGTTCTGCAAGGCTCCGTTTTCGGTCCTCTTCTATTTTCACTTCATTTGC